TTTTTTTTTAAAAAAAAAAGGAGGGTGGGGGGGGGGGACCTCTATGTAGAGTTTTCCAAAACATCAAATTGATAGATCAAACTTCTGAAGTATCACAAGAAGCTCATCTTCATTCATCATAAATAATAGTACAGTATAGTACAGTAACTCATAAGGGCAGAGATGGAAAAGGGCTTGGGGAACACCATCTCAGGTATAAATTAATAATAAAAAAACAGTTACAGAAGCAACTACTTCCTTATTTTAATTGTTCCTTCTCCTGCAGTATTACTGCAGTTGTGATACTGAAGTAAGGATCTTCTCACCAACCCCTTCTGGCCCTATCCCCAAATTGCCCAACATGCAGATGCTTAGAAAGCACGGAAAAGCCATGTTCTTAGAGAAGCTGCACCCTTACTCCCAAGAGCAGAGAAGCACAGGTTCTTACCATCCGCAATGAAATGCTCAGGAACGTGAAGGGTCACTTTAACAGTGAGTGGACAGGAGATCTGAGTGCCACAGACCATGGCCAGGATGCAAGAACTCACAGCAATTAACGTAAGGGCCGTCTTGTTCACAGGGCTTTTGAGGGAACCTGGAGAACAGAAACAAACATACCAGAAGCACAGATGTAGCACAAGGAGAATGTTCTCATCTCAAAAACATACAGTATATGAAAAGGTTTCAGTCTCAGGACTTGGGATGAATACAATAAATCAGAGGGCCTTCAGAGTATAAGGAAAGCCCACCAGGACTAGCTGGCATGGCCACCCCTGAGACAGATGCCTGGATTTGCAATCCAGGATGCTGATGACTCCATGTTATCAAGTCCCTATTACAAACGAAAGCTTTAATGTCCTTTAGAGTGACATCTTATCAACTGATACCAAAAGCATTTAATTGCAGCCTCTCCCATGATATACTTTCATTCAAAGAAAATGTTCAGTATTTTTGTTTCATTTTTCAAGTAAAGGTTGCCAGATCAGACTATGGAGAAATCAAAACTTGTCCTCGCTCATCGGGGCAGAGATGGAAAAGGGCTTGGGGAACACCATCTCAGGTATCCGTTCATCTGTTATGAGCAGCTATGTATAATTCAGGGATTCCAGGAGATTGACAGAGCTGGTCCTCCAGCAGAGACATGGTGTAATCCTCTCTCCTACCTTGTCTCACTGAATTCAGATGGATGAATCAGTGTTCCCTGTAATAACTGAGGAAGAGACTGAAGTAGCTGTTCATCACAGAGCGTTTAGTTCAAACAGCTCCTGATTGTGCAGAAGGACACATTTTACCATGCCGTTGAAAGTTCCTATCAAGTATTTGTCCCTTTCTTTTTTTTTTAATTTTTTTTATTTTTTACAACAAACACAAACAAGAGCATAAAAAACATAAAAACCATCTTCCATCTTAAACCATGTGTCAGCCAGTTACCAATCATTTGTGCCATCCTTTCATAGTCTTCACTCACCATTTATATAGAGTCTGTCTTCTTGCTCTCTAATTTCAAATGTCAATTTACTCATCTCAGCACATTCCATAATTTTCTCAGTGTCTTCTTGCTCTCTAATTTCAAATGTCAATTTACTCATCTCAGCACATTCCATAATTTTCTCAGTATTTGTCCCTTTCTGAAGGCCTTGTTTTATCTGATAGCCTGTTGGATTTCTGATCTTTCTGTTCAGCCACCTGCCTGCAAAACAGAGTCTTTGTCCCATTTTTCAACTCTTTATGATCTGCAGAAAATAAAGGGAGGGTTCTGTTCATGGTGAACCAGAACTCTGCACGAGTGTGCAATTCCTCCCTTAAGTTACATTGACTTGCCCAATTGTGAGGAAAAAACCATCACTGGGACAAAGAAAAAGAACAACTCTCTAAAGAAATGCCGTTCTGTCATACTTGCCTAAGAATTCACCTCTCAGTTATAGCCTGCCTCGTCAGAAGCCTTTATGGTGGATTAACTTATCTATTTTAAAGAAAGTTCACCATATCAAATCACAAAACTGTTATTTCCTAAATTCCAAGGGAATCATCTCTCTTTTTATCCCCCTCCCTGGCTAGACTGCACATTTCCCACATGCAACGGAAGATATGACAGACATTCATCGCTATAAAGGATGAAAGTCAACTAGCATTTTTAGAACACAGGCAAGTCAAAGTTTAGTATGAGTTGACACAGTATGTGGGCAGCCCACCTCCCCCCCCCCCAATCACCTGTTAGTCACAGAAAAACTTTTCATCTCACAAAGTCATAGACACAAACTGCCTGTAGGCAAATATGGGCTGAAACGTTTTGACAGCACGAAGACAGAATTTGGAAGACAGAAACCTGATCCCTGAGCAGTCCAAACACTGGAGAGGTATTAGAGACTTTTCTCATTGTTTTGGAGCACCATCAAGCGCTGTGCATGCCAAGAAACACCAGTAGCTACAACGTAATTTGGAATCGAAGCTATGTGGAACTGAATGGACAGAGTTTCTACAAAAGAACATCCTGGGTCCAGGGCTTTACTGGGATCAAAAGGAAAATTCTGCCAATTACATCCAGGCGGAGTCCGACCTAAAGTTACAGAACCCAAAGGGTGAAATGGTGAATTCTGGCAGTATAGAAATGTGAGAAACAACCAGGTAACCATGCTGTAGCAGGATCACAAAGTTTTCCATGTTTACTTTGGGCATCTGAAACTCACGTTGTTGATCCTTGCTTCTAGCAGCTTAAAGCTGGCAGCGAGCCACGAAGTCAAAAGCTGCAGTTTGGAGTACAGTTTAAGAACGAGCTCCATTCCCAAGCTCTGTTCGCAAGTCGAATTTGTATGTAAGCCAGAACAGTATCATTGTATGATGCTATATAAAAAGTATTGTGTAATGAACTCGAACCATTGTGTTATTTAACTTGAATTTTGCTACAATAGGCTCTGTTCTTAACTATGGGTCGTCCTTAAACCAGGCATTCATAACTCAGGGACTACAGCTGGATTGGAGAAAAGGGTTTGTATATTCCATACACATATATATGCCTGGGATGATCAACATAACATCTGGACAGTGATTTGCAAAGCCAGCACCAACTTAAATGCAGAGATGAGCTTTATAGCTTAAGGATATGTTTATATGCGGAAGCAACAGCTTAAGTACAGATGAATTTTGAGAAGTTGAAAGTCGTGCCAAGAGGGAGCATTGGGGGTGAAGAGGCAGAAGAACTGGAGGATCAGAAAAAGGCAGCCTTCAGGCAAGAAGCTTGATTTGAAAGAAAAGAAGACAGGCAGGAAGGCTGAGCAAAACCCCAAACATGCATTCTTTTTTTAGACCAAACCTGCATCCAAGAACCTTTCATAACCAATCCAGTTCATTGCTGTTTAACTGGGCCTGAAAGGTTTTGTAGCCAAACTCATATTTTCTGCAAGTCACCTGGAACACCTGTCGAGTTAACTTCCAAGCAGTGATTTTCCTGATTAAGAGACCCCTGACTTCTAGCCTTTGCCCCATTGTTATGTTGGACTTAATTCAAGGTGTTTCTATTTCAGAAAGTATACGAAATTGCTCAAAATGGTTTCCCACAAAGTGGCAAAAACATAAAAGGAAGCAAACGGGTCTATGGTGAAGCATCTGAAAAAAAACAGGGATGTCAAAAGACAATTGACCAGCCTCTTTTCTTCTAACTTCTCCATTCTGTATCCAATGTGTTATAAAGAGAGACATCACACATAAATAAAAGTTTAGGGAAAATCCAGGTTTTCATTTTTTTTCCCCAGATGCTCATATCTCTTGTAACCAATAGAACAATTCCACTTCTGCATAGATGGCTTAGATCTGAGTGGCACTGCAGGATCCTATGACCATATTAATAATTACAGTTCCCCCTAGCAACCGTGTCCTAAATCAGCTTCAAAAATACACTATTGGGAAATCAGCCCACCAAAAATGTAATGGTCTTTAATTACCCAACTTTTAATCAGCTCTGATTTAGTTAACCAAGAGTGATGTGGGTGCTAAAACAAAGAGCAAAATCAAATTCCTTGTTCCTAAAGGCACTCCAAAAAGGCACAGTATCTTTCGTGCCAAATTCCACTCCTGGAGACTACAGATCTTGACACCAATGGGAGAACTTTTTTTCGCCCCTGTTCACTTTCAAAACTCTCCAGAAACTGCCTTGTTCTTGTTAACTCAAAAGAAATCATGCATCAGATGCTCTCATCTATAGCAGCCTCTCAAGCACAACACACCTCGTGTTGGTAGAAATGCAGACTGTGGATACTCAAACAAGCAAACAGCAAAACCCACTGATTTTCTCATATACTTATTTAGTTTCTTCTGCCTATTAATATGCTCTTATATTTTAACAAGAAGCAGAATCCGTTGTGGAAGGAAGGAAGGAAGGAAGGAAGGAAGGAAGGAAGGAAGGAAGGAAGGAAGGAAGGAAGGAAGGAAGGAAGGAAGGAAGGAAGGAAGGAAATGTGTATCAAATGGTTGAAGTCTAGTATGGTTACAGCTAAAGTGAGAGCATAGTCCCTAGACAATTTTCAATCTTTCTGGAGGAGAGCTGTGATGGAAAAATGAGAATTGGATGGATTCTCTCCTTTCCCCACCCTGCTCCTCAGATTGCTGAGTGCTGATAGCATTAAATTGGCCTTTTAAAAAATAGCATGAACTATGGCGTTTCAAAATTATTTATGTATAATACCTATTTCTTTTAGGGGAGGCACTTAAGGGCAAGTTTTACCCCTGTGTGATATCTTTAGGAGCTCATCGCTGTGAACAAAAGCAGAGCTTTTACCCTGGTACATTGTAAATGTTCCTTTTCTTTCTTTCTTTCTTTCTTTCTTTCTTTCTTTCTTTCTTTCTTTCTTTCTTTCTTTCTTTCTTTCTTTCTTTTTTCTCCCTAGCGTTCTTCCTGTATGTGCAGGGTCTGCTTTTCTGGGGATCAACCAAATGTTGATCTGTTGGTTGTGACAGGAACTGAGCGACCAGCTTGTCACCTGAGCCTGGCGTTGGAGGCTGAGAGAGAGGGACTGGCCCAAAGCCACCCAGCCAGCTTTCATGCCTAAGGTGGGACTAGAACTCACCAGCTCCTGGTTTCTAGCCTGGAGCTTCACCACTAGACCAAACTGGCTCTCTGGTGTTCCTTTTTTTTCCTAGTTGGCAGAAAAAATGTTATAACATAATGGTGCCTGAATGTGGTATTTTTGTCCCTGCAAAATAAAATAAATTCCTTGCTTCTGTCCCTTTTAGAGAGATTTCTGTCTCACACCATGCCCATCTTGTGAAAATGTAGGGTTGGATGAACACATTATTTCTACTTTCCTGGAAAGTAACCCAATTATGTCTTCTTACTATTATAAAGCATCAAGAGTTTACTACATGAAAGTAGTTTTATTGGCATGATTTAGCACTCTGCTTTATGTTTAATGTAACTGGCATACAGTGGGGAGCAGATCTATAAATATTTTAAATAAACAAGATAAATGGCAACAGCTTTTGTTTTTATGGCTGGCTTATGGCAGTAATAAATGTCTGTCATAATTTTCTCATACATTTCTACAGCCTAGTTCAGGGTTCAGCAACCAGTGGGCATTTGAAATTCTGGAGTGCCCCCAGGCA